TCCAGGGTTCAATCCCCGGGCCGGGTAAAGCGGGGTTAGAGTTTAATGAATAAAATCCAACAGCTCGTGCTTGTCAAGGCTTTCACGACTCCTAAAAAGGAGTGACCGTCTAAAGAAACTCAAAGTGGTCTATCAACCGATCCTGTGGTGCAGTGGAATGCTGTTCGTATCAGAACCGGGAGGTCCAGGGTTCAATCCCCGGGCCGGGTAAAGCGGGGTTAGAGTTTAATGAATAAAATCCTACAGCACGCGCGTGACATAGCTTTCATGGCTCCCGAGAAGGGGTGACGTTCTAAACATTTCTCAAAGTGGTCTTTCATACTGACCCATGGCTTAAGTGGTTAGCCACTGCACCTGAGAGCGGATAGTACCTGGTTTGCTACGAATAGGATCCGAATTAATTATATCACCAAAGTGGACGAGCATTCACGAAATCCAGCCATGTGGTAGCATCTTGTTACGGTGTAGCCACACCACTGTGTGATCACACCAAGTTGTGTAATCCACACCTATGTACGGTCACACCATTATGTGCGACTCGTTCTATCATACAAGGGTACGTGTAACCCCGTTACATATTCCGTCGATACAGTTGTCCGTAGTAGTGTAGACATCGATATTACACACATGAGAGATCAGGGTGTTAATGTGTACACCTGATGAATTTGATGGCAATGTTGACATGTGTGGTTTCACGTCAAAGCCATTCGTTACTGGATGGCTTCATTGCCTTTAGGCAGCTTTTCCAAGCTAAATTTCCATTGCAGAGTAGCCAATGCCCCTGTTCCAAAAGGGCCTACGTCACTCCAATAAACGCGCGATGCACCCTGTGTGGTGAGCAAGCTTTCTGACGCTAAGTCACAACCTCGCTCTTACAGTCCAGTCGGAGTGAAGCGCTCAGGTGTAGACGGACCACGTCTTAACCACCTCTGTAGCTGAGTTGCCCTTTGCTCTAGAGCAGTGGCACGGTTATAAAAGCGCTAAAGGGAATTCAAGCTTCGCTGTGTGGTATTTATATACGAGCGCATCGGATTTATAGCAAACATTACAAATGGTCGCAGTCCGCGACTTTTGGAGAGCGTACTTGCCACCACAGCCAAGAACTCTTATGATAGTTAACTGCGAGAGGGTAGGGGTGGTCCTTTGCCGGCTCTGCTCGATGAGCAGAGAATGATTCATCTTCAAGCAACCGTCTGGTCGACTACATAAAGCTGATATCCGCATAAGATTAAGAAGATGATATGCCGTCATTTAGAAGTCTAAAGTCTCACTTCGGCAATATTTTCCTGGCGCAATCGTCTCTTTCGACATAGCGCACCCCACATCTTTCTTTCAAGTGGTGGTGATAGGCCAAGCTTTAAGCTCGATTCTTGGTCGGTAGCTGTCACAATCGTATGACGGAGACAAACGGGGTTTAACACTTGGAGAAAGTGGAATAATCACCTCGGCGCCCGCTTCACGAAATCAGGCCCAGAATGTCCTAGGACGGGTAAGTCGACGCGTATTGCTCACTAAGTGCGCAAATCCAGTATGGTGTTCCCGCAGCTTCCCGTACGCAAAGTTTATACCTTGTGTAAGCTGCTGAATTTTCCAAGCGGTGCTTTCTCTTAAATTTCGAGAGTGGAGGGAATGAGAAGGAGAATGTTGTCGGAGAGTGGAAAATGGAAAGTGATTTTATCCTACTAATGCTGTCTAAAATGACTGGTTGCTACGTGAACTTGAGCGTAACATTCTAT